ATATGATCTGTAGCAGAATATCTTATCTTAGAAGATGTATTAGTGCATTAAATGAAGAAATTCTAACTTCCCGATATGGTTTTATTATTCGTTTTCATCTTTTCCACATTACTAAAATATTATAAATGCAGAATAAGCTCACATTTTGTAGAGTCTGGTCAGATTACTGAAGCTTCCGGACTCAATATTTGATATAATGTTGTAGTCGAATATCCTTAATTTATAGGAAAATGGAATAAATACTTTTAATTTATTGACTAATTATAGCAACAACGAATTATAAACGATTACTTAAAATTCAAAATTGCTTACACTTCGACTAAGGAAGGAAAGTTTGTAAAAATAGTTTTACTGATAAAGCTGACATAGTTTGATGTAACATCTCTAGAGTTGGATGAATAATACGTCGTAAAGCCAGAATAATAATCAAATTATATAAGAAAATTTTTCGCAGATCTTGTAAATAGTTATACAAATAATGAGATTTGGTTCAATTGCTGCACTTACAGTGTTCTTAATTTAACGAGACCCTTAAATTTTTCATCACTTAAGCTCTCTAAATTTTGATGACTTAGATTGCTAAAAATATAAACAGATCATTTCGATATTAAAATATCGATAGATATACTTGGTACAAATATTTCAATTTAATTTTGAATCATACTAGATAAATATATGCTTACAGCTTTAATAAATTTTGATTAGCGCTAAAGTTGAAGTCCTTAGATATGTGATTAAAATCCAATCGTCTATAAATTATTTGTGATCAATATTCTAACTAAGAAGGAATGCTATTTATTTACTGCTGTAGCTGTGGGATCTGGTGGTTAAGATTTAGGAACAACAATTCATCATTAAATATATTGATTATTAATTTAATTCATTAATTCTTACAGATCCTGGATTTTCTTTAGTTTTGTTAAAGCTGCTGCACTGTTATCATTAATATTGGCCATATATAATGAGCTATTGGAAAGTGAGCCATTTAAATTAAGAGAATAAAGACATGCTTTAGGAGTACTTATAAACCAGTAACAATTGAATCAAATGGTGTAATTGCTTTAGTAAGTGGGTATAAACGTAGTGAAATTCTTAAGATTATTTATTGCCTTATACTATGGGTAGATAATTCTACTGCTTTAAAGACTATGCTTACATGCGACTTGCGTTTGCGAATACTGAAAGTGAGTTAATTGTAAGATTGACCAAATAGTTGAGACCAAGGTATCTGAAATTGTATTTTCGATTAACTTCGAAATTGTTTACAGTTGGACACTGGGACAACTTTAGTAAGGTAGCAAATAATCTAGTGAGCAAAATCTATATTTGAAAACAATAATTCGATAAAATATCTTATTTAAAGATCTGTAAGTGTTCGAAACTACTTTGGTTAATCATAGCAAATTATTCGCTGACTTTAAACTAAAACGCTATCATATACTGCATGTTCTAATACTACTATTGAGCAACTTTGGTTTATTCACTTATTAATCAATGAGTAAACTCGCTAAATCAGGTATACCCATGCAGGAATATAACTCCAGTATTATAAATTACGTCGGAATATGAATCTCAAGCTAAAAAGGGATTCTTACACGTTCGTACCATGAAGAGTTAAATGGCTAAATTTAGCGAATTTAACATTTGCATATGATGATTACAATTAGTTACTCACGCATGAACCACTGAAGTTGAAATACACGGTAAAAAGTTACTGAACCTCTGACAGGTCTATCAAATGGTAATACTATCTGTTAAATGAGCACATTATCGTAAACCGTCTGCAAAGCGACGGGAGTTTGCACTAGTTTTTACTAATAGTAGATTGTAGGAGTGCTGAAATGACTATGAATGGATATACTGTACTGTAATCCGACTGTGTAAAATCACTCAGTTGGTACCCATATTGATAATTATTATAGTAAGATGATTCATTAATTTTAGCTACTGCTGAAAGGCATATAAGGTCAGCAGATTATTGAATTGAATCAATTCTTTGGTATTGTGACATAGAAGGAAGGGGTCTAAGTTCTTGTAATTATTTAAGGAAGACTGAGTCCCGTAAATTTTAGAAATTTCGAAAATTCTCTTTACGTAAATCTTGTCACAAAGCTGGTTTGTAACCGATACTAATTTCTACTTTTTGAGGGAAAAAAGCAATTAATTGCCGTAATCGATAGTAAATTAGTTTAGAAGCCTGTTCTTATCATATTATACATTACAATTCAAATAAATACGTACACTTGTTGTATTGCCATCATGGGCTTATTTGCTGGCAATATTCTTGCGATATGAGTTCTTCGCATATTTCTACATAAGAATACAATAATACCGACTTTAAACCGAATTACATTTCTTACTATATTAAGTTGTGCAGAATCACGTTCTGAGAATTAATAATTATACTAACAGAATCTTTAATTTCCTGAATTCGGGCAGATAGGTTTGATTGAAGACACTGATTTTATTACGCGATAATGCTCTATAATTCCCATTTGCACCAGTTATTTTTAAAATGACATAAACTTGATTAGTATCTGCAATCGATAGAAATTTTGGACAGCTACCATAATGACTTATTGGAAATTCAGTTTGCATTAAAAAGTAGCATTTTATTTGATGTTGATTAAGTAGTAAATCACCATCTAAGAGTTTGCCAGCTAGTATTGGCTTCGTTATTAAGCATTTCCGTTATTAATTTATACATAGTAAACATAAATGTAAAGGCTTATGAAATCGGCTTTATTAAATACTTATTTGTTCTTTTTACTTCTAGATTTTAAAAGTCTCCATAATATCTCAGACATTATGTTGATTTGTAATTCAAAACTATGGATTATTTTTAATTGTTTTCATAAGCATTAGAATAAAATCTATTGAACTTACAGAATTTCCAAGCTATGAGCGCAGTTTAGTAGTGCTTCAATACCAAACTCCTCCAAGTTGTTATTTGATAAATCTCTATTTGAAATTTTAACATACAGCAGATGTTCAGTGTATTCTATTTACCTTACTGAAATAAGTCATGAATTGCTACACTATTTATTGCAATCTTGTGTTACTTGCAATACTGAGAGCTAGCTTTACTTCTTTTCAACTAAATCATTACAAAAATTTGTAAACTTACAAGTGGTACATATTATACGGTCCATCGCATAACGCTGAACTTATAAAGGTCAGTCGATTGAAGTTCAATCGTCTAGTCCACAACAACAAGGCAATAATATCATTAAATTCAACTTTATCATTTACTAAGATAGTAGTGATAATAAATTAGCGTATTAAAGGTATACAAAGGCATAAAATGATAGGAAATTTACTTTAATGTTACTATTCTAGTAAATGCACTATTCATACATGTATCGAAGGTATGGATTATGACGAAAAGTTCCGCTAGAAATATGGTTTATTCTATTTAGCGTTAGTCCCCTAAAATATAAAAAATTATATGGCAGTGATGTCGTGCGATGGTAATTTCATGATATATATATACCAGATGCACAATATCTGAATCCTACATTATACATAGTATGAACATGTTAGTTAATCATAAGCATTTGCATGTATTAAGAATGCTATAGTTACATTCTCACAGCACAGCATTGGCCTAATTATTACTTTTGTAGTGAATTATGATTTATCAATTTCTGATTTGTATTAGGCTATAATTAAACCTGCAGAATATTATAAGCTAAATCATTTTATACTTTTGAAATACGTTTAATCTGTTGCTACTTGATATTTGAGTAATTTGGACTAGGACTGTAACTATAAGATTCATGCATCTATAGAGAGCAATGCTTGCTCCTTTGCATGGACTCGCCTTCATGATTATGAACATATTCTTACATTTCTGAATTCATTAAATTATATGCTAAATATGCTCATTTTCATTAGCATAGTTCATTGAATAATATTTATTAGATTATACTAAAGAATATTAAAATAAGATCATGATGATCATTTCTAGCCGTGAACCAGCTTGGGGATACTTTCATTTTCTATAATAATTATTATCGAAAAAGTCTCTGAGCTAGCTATAAAAAGATATTGCTACACGTAAAAAAATGTTATAAATCGAAAATTACTAAAATCCGTCATTAAATAAGCGATATAGCAACGTACAAAAATCGTAAAGATGGTAAACCGAGAAAGGATTTGTTGGTTAGGACGGAGATTTCGTTCACTGATAAATCCCTAGCGGTATACAATCGGAATAATTAAATTAGAAAAGGCATTTCACCTAATTTTATATAATCCAAAATTTGTGTACCGCATATTGTATCATAAAATCTGCCGTTGAGTTACAATACGTGTATAATTGCATATTCGATGCACAATCAAGATTTAAGTTATTTCAAAACTTGAACTAAAGTTATAAGTAGGTTCATTGCTTTTGCACTAATATTTAAGACAGGACTATGGGCGTACGACGTTTTTAATGTTACAATGCTATAAAAAGCTGGCTAAAAATCGACTTCTGATACAAAAATCACAAGCGTATACATAATTATAGAGGCTAGTTTAGTAAAACCAGATTTAGAGTTCATACAGATATGAAAGGGTTGACAAATTTCGAAAAGCTCCATCTTCAATTTCCGATGTCCAGGTGTTTATCATAAAACTTTAGGAATTAAAGAGATGATATTTATTGTTATTTTGATTTAGTAAATATTATACTCAAGTATGAGCAATAATTTAACGCTGGAGTCATTACAAATGTGTGATTGAAGGTAAGTTAGCAAAGATTCCATATTTGATGCGGTTAATGAAGCCACCAAAGATAAATCTAAGTAAAAAATTAATGTGTCGTACTTAATGATTTTAGTGGCTGAAACATTTTCCCCATATTTTACTTTGCAATATGCGGAAGTATTGAAGTAGTTATGTTGTCATAGCATTAATTGAAGTTATTGATTACTATATTTAAAGTAAAGAATCTTGATTATTTTATATATCATATAAAATATATGCACGTATATCATACATTGTTTTCAGCCTTGTTAAATTTCGGAAAGCCCCAATTTTAGCTCCTCCATGACCCAATGTAGAAAACCGGCTAAAATTATAATTTACAATTTCAACTTAGTATTACTGCAGTATATTGTAGAAGGTTGATGAACCTAACTTATGTAGTAAAGTGAAGTTTATAAGAAACTTTGGTTCTTGATTTATTATTTGAAGATCACTTTATCACGCGCACATAAAGAAACATTGATTATTCTATACGAAGATATGCTACTTACACATTGCTAAGTTTGGGTTTGGATGAAAGCAATCCCGATGGCAAGATAAAAATTGGATTATTTGTAAGATCACTAAATCGAAAATAAAAAAGATGAATAAAATTTACATCAAGGCAACTTATGTAGCTATTAAAAGCTTAGATATGTACGTCGAAAATAAAAAAACTATGATTCTACTGCTGGATGCATCTTCCTCAACATTTAGCTGAAGTAAGACTGGAACGGTCATGATTTCCTACTGCTATGAGGCTATCGTAATTATATGTCTCATTTATAGTACGGTAATCCATGAAGCCCAAATTGCATTCAAAAATCAACTAATCTAGAAGGGCCAACCGTTATTACTTAGGCTACAGGTATATATTTTCATAAACTAGACAAAATTCATGTTCTATAACAAAAAGGGATAATCTAATTCGTGCTTACAGCTACTGTGGGAACTCCTAGATAAAATTTAGATATGAAATGATGAAGATTTTCCTCCCATTTGAATCATATATTTTTTTTATTAAAGCAATTGCAGACTATGTTAAATCCGATACCACTTATTAAAACGGCTTTAAGATGGAGCTTATTCTTGCCACATTTGCATATTTACTGTCTGAGGATTAATTCTATTGTGTATTAACTTACAGGAAAAAAAGATTCTCTAGTCCGTTAAATGTTCCATTAGAAATTTGGCGAATGTTATTAGTTTGTAAATACCTGCAATTAAGAATTAATAACACTTCAGGCTAATAAATATTTTTCGTTTAGTCAAAACTTTGTTTGTAAATTAATAATACGCTTTCACACACTAATTTTCGAGATCTTATGATATTAATAACATACAAATAATTCAATTTTTTTAGCGACTGGAAGGAACCATGTTCAATGCTCATAATGTTTGACAGAGAAAGATCTCTAGCTCGTTAAAAAATAGGTCATAAAGAATTTAATTGCATTATTAGATTTAAGTTAGGAAAAATAAATAGAGTTACATTGCAGTAAACTGTCCAATTTTCCAGTATAAATAGTACTCATATGTTACAAAAGTTTTTAATAATGTTTATAAGCATCGATAATGCTTACACAACTTTGATTAAATGTAGGGAAGTCAAAATAGCATTAATTTATTGCTCACTACTTATATTAGCATAATCCTAAATAAAGCCTGATTTACTAAGATTACAAAAAAAGTGGATTTATATTTAGATACATACAGAGTCCTCAAGTTGATCAACTGATGAAAGTGCTCCTTAGTAATAGCTCGAATCAACGATTTCTGTAATAACCTATTAAAATTGCATATAAAGCTCTAAGAGTGAAATTAGCATACATAACATAACCGTAATATTAAAGAGAAATAGGATTCAGATGGATAATTTTATTGCAAGACTGTTTCTTGTATCATAGACCATAGAGCAAATTATGTTCCTATTTTAGTTTGTTAAATCTTCCTAAAATTTGATGATACTACTTTATATATTGCAATTATTTTCATTTCTAATAAACAAGTCAACAATTTAAATAAACTAATATGCTGTATAATCATAAGTTTACTTATTCATACGTCATTTGCATTTGCTACTTAATGAAGGCTCGGTTTTCAACTCAAGGATATTTAAGGTTGACTGCATTAAGTAAATACCGCAAATGGTAAATTAATTTATCACATTTTTGTCTTAAAAACAAAAGTCTAATAAGGAAGATGGATTCTGATAAATATTTTACCATACTTTACTTAAACTTCAGAAACTCATGAACATCGTAAATAAAAACTGTACTATTGGTAATGAAACTAACAAAACACGTAAATTCTGCAATGAGGTGAATGTTCCATTCTGGATTTCATACATTGGGTTGCCATTTAGATGCCTATATAAAAACATGATATTTACTTTCATATTCTTTACAAATAATAACAAATGATGACACTTATATAATCTAATAAATACACTTCTTTTACAAACAGAGTTTTTAAGCGAGAAAGTCCTTTAAAACCATCTTTTTCCACGCCCAATAATTTGTTTCTCGACATAAACCTTTATCAACGTGGCACCATTGAACAAGTAAATAAATTTTCTCTAATTTATTATATTACAGTTAAATTTACATATCTCTTAATAAATTGGATAATAAACTATACCATTCTGTTTGTGTATGAAAAGAAAGAATTTATTCGCGCAAGCATCTTTCATACATACATTTAGTTATTTTTCAAACTACTCTCACGTTAATTGTAGCTAGTTATGAATTGCACTATTAAGTATTCGCTGCATTATTTTAAAGCTAATTTATAGAAGCATACTTACAAGGCTTGCAAGAGTTCATTGTATTGGAACGTTTCAGACTTAAGCTGCATTATATAATTATCGTTTAGATTTCTAGAAAGAAAACAATAATTTTAATGATTAGAGTACTAGAAATAGTATATTTATAGATCAAAATAATCTTTCGCTCTATTACACTATTCAATTACTTACAAAGAACGTAAATTAGGCAAATTTTGGAGATCAGCTGCAGAAATTATTCTCATTTTGTTTCTTGCAAGATTACTTAGAAAGTAAAGATAGATTTGAATAAATGAGTAAATTTAAAAGTTTCAATTTATTTCAACATACGAAAACTTTCAACTTTGAGAAATATTTCACTTTAACTTACAGATTATAAATCCATGGCTGAAAGGTAGTGGGGTCAATTGGGAAATCTGTAAAATCGTTCCCTTCCAAGTTGCTAAGGACATAAAATATAGAGATTTCAAAATTTGGGTACTACAGTATTGCAAAGTCCTAAATAATTACTTTGTTTTTAAAAAGGCAGCAAAAATGCACTACTACAGACTCTAAAATAATCTGATAGCTGTTACTAGTTCTAAAGTCAGCTGATAGCATTCTTAGAAATAACTGTATTCATCATCATTACGATATCTATGAAATCTATTACAAGAAGGCAATAATTGTAACCGTTAAATCAAACATATGGAAAGATTGATATGCTATTTATTCTAATTTTTTGGCAAACATATTGGTAGAATATAAACCAGTTAGAGCATACGAGTATTTGCAGTTTACTATTAAAATAATAAAACATAAAAAACGCAGCATATTATATCCAAGTTAATCGCATATTCAATTCTTTTTTACTCACATGATTGAGAATGGCAATAGTAATCTTCTTAGTAACTGATTCATCCGGTTATTCGTGCATATCATGCTTGTATTGGAATATTTACATCCAGTTAAGGGCTCAACGTTAACTGATTTAGTACAAATATATTGCCCAAAAACATATTTAAAGTCAGAATTGAATCTAGACAATAAAGTAAGCTATCTAATATTAAACTTGTTTATTAACTTAATTTTGATAAGTTACAGTAGTCATAATCTGGTACATCAATATATAACAATTTACCTATTGCTAATGCAAATCATCCTCCCGTCTTATTATTTATTCTATCTTATTTTTACTTGATAAAGCCATGAATGCTACAACTTTATCAGTCTCATGAACATTTAGATGCGAATATAAGGAAATAACTCATTGTAGTAATAAAGATAGGGTATACTGATACGATAGTTGGTTTACTACGAAAGATAGTATTGAATTATTAGTTATGATCGTAGGTACCGCTTTAATATTGTATCTCATTAATGGATTAATTTACTATGATATAATAAATCATTTACCACTGCCAGGGCATTTAGGGCAGTTGGCTAAGTAAATAAATTCTAAAGATTATAAATGTAAATTTTAATACTGACACTATGGAAATTCAATACAATTTCAATCAATATATGAATATAGTCTGGTATCTGTTACAGGGTATCATTTATCATCATCCCTTTATCGCAATAAGTTTCATTGCAGCTAATTCAATTTTTATATTATATTTAATTTATTGAAAGAAAAGGCATGTATGTAAGCGTAGTGTAAACCATAAAAATTAAACAAAATTATGGCGATAAAATGGATTAGAACTCACAGCAAATTAATTTGCTTCCATTAACCAGTTCAGCAAAGCCTTGATCTTTCCATAAATGACAAGACTGGAATTTGCATACTAAATTTGATAAATATAAACTTAATATATCTTTAATACCGTAAGTTATTACACATTATAGAAATGAAAAAGCGCTTTATTATTAGTAAATAAAATTTTAAATCCTAGAGTACGTACATGTCACAGGTTTTTCTGCCCAAGAAAGACAAGTTTCATAATCATGGCAAAGATGAACGTTTTTGTACCGTGTTAAATTGGATAACTTGAAAGACACTAAAATAGAATATTAAGATTGCAGTTACAAATCCAAATTTGTTATGCAAGAGATGTAAGCTAAATCAGAAAGATTAAACCCTACGAGTGTACTGTCAGGCTTGTTCTCCCAACATCTACCTATGGTACGGTTTTAAATACTAACGATTATATTTTGTCTGGAGGAACATTAATAAGACATATCTCTCTTAGCTAACAATGAACCCAAATATTATTAAAAAGTCCACCATTTGATAGTACAATAGCAATAATATCAGTTATCGCTACAGTATTAATATGATATTATAAAACTATGCACCTATCTATTCAAAACATGTATGCGTAAGGTATCATTGATAAATTATTATCAGCACGTCCCTAGATAAGTAATCTTATGAAGACTATGTTACGGCTGCTACGCTTAACTTAATCATAAACGATTGCCTGTTATAATGAGGAATCTTCAACTATACAATGTGAAGAAATTATTCTCCAATTTAATTTTTCTTCTTTAATTAATAATTATATTATATAATCAAGATATTGCTAATCTTTAGCGGAAAGCACGGATAATTTCAGAAAATATTCTTTGTTTAGCTTCTACATCTAAGGATACTATGGCAATCATTCAATCTAACAACAATTTGAATATCTAACACTTTAATAAAAAATAGAATTTTTTGTTTAGAATGTAGAGTGAAGCTATCATGGGCATTTTGAGATGATTTAAGCTATTTCTTACAGGTATGATAAAGTGTCTAAAATTTACAGTAACGATTGTTTTATAAAACTGTATTTAAGCAGATAGATTGGTATATCTTTCGTATCCTAAAAGGGCCATTTACTTTCGGTCTAATTCGATCTGACTTGCTAAATCTGTATTTGGCCAAAATATTTGCTGTGAATGGTACCCTAAAACATATAGTTGCTCAATTTTGCAATTAAACCATTCTCATACAATCATATAGCCTTAATTTTGAGCTGGACTGTACTGAATCGAAACATTGCCTAATCATACATGTATGCTACAGCATTTAGCCTTTCTTATTTTATAGCTTATATACATGGAAATAGTATATATAGATGAAAAATTTATGCTATACACTGCTTTGTGCTAAAAGCTACTTAAATTTGTTACTACTTTTTAAGAATAAATGCTGTCAGCTTCTGATAATTACTTATCTAGAAATTGAGAGTAAGCGTAGTTGTGTTGTGGTCGTAAATAAGTTTAGATTGACAAATATGTGATAGTGAGATTGTGATATGATTGAAGCTCACTCAAAACATAGACGCTGTCGCACTCATTAGTGATTATCATACACCCCAAAGCTGTGTCAAAGAGGTTAGAAACTGCTCTAGTCAGCTTAACTGTTAGTAATTGAAATATCGTACCGCTTAAAATAAACTAATTCTGGATTATACATTAACTTTATACTTGTATATAGTTATCCAGCATACTTTAATTTATCCGCCAAATTTTTACGCATAATATTTTCGACTAGTTGCGATGAAAGTAAAAAGGTCTAATCATTAGAATTCCTATGCTTCACTTCTAAATATTTCACATTTACTTAGATAAATAGTAGCGGCATCGAATAATTAATTGTTACCAATCACTATGTACTTGCATAAAACGTAAGTATTCATCTTCTACTTACCACAACCTAATTCGTCGTCAATGTTCATAGAATCTAATTTGCAATCACAAATTTCGTGAATTGTTTTAAGCTGCCATGAATGACATACCATGGCTAGAAAAATCAGTTCTGAATAGAAACACAAGGCATATACGACATTTCAGAATTAGTCTTCCATATTTTATCGATAGTCGGTGCTACTGATAGTAGGACACGCAGCTCTTGAATCAACACCAATATTGAAATAGGTTCAATAATAAATCGCTTAATTCATTCGTAATATATTAAAATATTTTATATTTAAACCTGACCTATAGCATAAGTAAGTAATCCAATCCTGATAAAAAATGAAACTTCTTTCAAATTTTGCTCTCCCATTCTTGTGATAATGGTATTTTGGTTTAGATTAGGAAGACTTTATTAAGGGTTTATTTTTCCAATTGCTTCAAATTTATTGATACAGGGAGCGTCCTACACGTATTGCGTCTTTAAGAAAGATTTATGTTCTAGGATTGATTCTTTTAGATATAACCAGGATGAAGAATAGGCCGTTTATGAGTATAATTATCGTTCTGCAATAGTTTATATATATGTACTTAAAGCGAAATAATTAGATTACCACTTTTAGATTACAATAGCTTTTTAATCAGTTACGTAATTTATTAATTTTATTTTATAAAATTTAAATTATTGACAATGCTATTCTTGCGTGATGTTTTAGAATTTTGAATGCTGGTAAAAATTATCGAACAATGAGTTTAAAGTAGAATATTCCATAATGACAGATTCAAATCATTTCTTTCTCTTATAATTTAGGCAATGAATATTATTAGAGATGTAAATATGTCAATTATTTTGAGTAGCTTTCAATTGTTGCATTTCAATAAGATTTTAAACCGGCGTTGGTAATAATAATATTTTGAAGATTGAAATAAATTGTTAATTTTTGGATATCATTTAAAATCAAAAATAGTTTAACCATTAAATTCCTTCCTCTAAGTTATAAATATATCTGATATTTTAGCGTAATTTCTAATTATCTAGGCTATAGCAAAATACCGGTATGTGTAATCATTAGACTCCTTATGTGTTAAACTATCTAGATACTTTATTAGCGGACTAGTAATTTTGCAAAAGTTAGGGAGTTTATAATTTGATGAGTGAATTTTATAAACCAACTATGTTTTATTGTCACGGTACGAACTACCGTGAAGAAATATCTATCTAAATTTGGTTAATATAATATAGTGATATTATATTACAACTAGTTACTTACTATAGGAATTACTCTAATTATAAATGTGTTATAGTAAATTTAATGCTGTACTGTAATGTGCACTGAAATGATTCTGTGAATGGACATATTGTAGTCCGACTGTGAAAAACTAGTTATCTCACCTAAGTATTTTTATAAGATGAATTGTGAATGTTAGCTACTGTAGAAGGGTATATAAGCCCGTCAGATAGTTGAATAAAGTAGTTCTCAATTGTATAGTTGTTTTAACGTAGAATCAAAGGCGTCTAAATTCTTGTGAGGTAGTTAAGGGATACTGAATTCCGGAAGACTATAGTAATTTAGAGATTTGTTTTACGTTATCCTTGTCACGAAGCTGGATTGTGACATTTATATACGTTTACAGACTGGCA